ATCACATCATTAATCATTGTTCAAAAATTGTTTTTAATGCACCATCTTACATAAAATTTTATTTTTAATGCACCCTCTTACATAAAATTTTGGCTAGGCCACTACTGACATATGTAAGGCATTATTTAGGAGTGCCTAATAAATATTAAACATCAATATGTAAAATATTGTACTTTCGCCACCTCATGAGTAGCAAATATCTCCACACACGTTACATAATATTTATCTCATTTCAAAAGTATTATACATTTGTACTATATAATTTTCAAGAATTGAAATGATAGGGAAGTCATACTAGATTAGTTTATGATAAGATATTTTGAGGTATAGTTGTGGTTGAACCGTTTTATACCAAGTTTTTAAATAAAACAATATAGCTTTGTTTAAATATCGTACCGATAAAAATATGCTATCATACTTGAAAAATACGGGAATTACACAGATAACAATGAGCCATACTAACTAACTAAACACGAGAAACCAAGGCACAAATGAGACAGCATGAAATTTATAACTTAACCAATTAATCTTAAAACTAAGTCTAACAAAACCCAACTGTATAGTGCAAACCTTACTTACCTTTTATCCTAACTAGGGGTGGGTGTTCGGTTTGAACCGAACCGAACTGGTATACCCCAAATTTCCGAACCACAGCATCACTTAACCGAATTCGAATCGAGCTGTAATTCGGTTCGGTATTATACTCCAAACCAAAAAATGTATGCTCTGTCCATTTTTGTGCTTTTGTTCTGTCTTCTGGTCGCTAGGCCAGATGAGAGGGGGATTCTTTTATTCTTCACCCTCTCTCTCTCTCTCTCTCTCTCTCTCTCTCTCTCTCTCTCTCTCTCTCTGCTGATCCCACCAACACAAGCTTTCCCCAATCTTCTTCTTCTTTACTTTTCTCTCTCACTCTCCCGCCCAGCAAACAAGCTTCTCATTCCAATCCAAATCTCATTGCTCCTCACATAGTCTGATATCACCACTATATCTCCTCCGCCTCAAATATGTTATTCTCGTTTTATCCTGGTGGGTCAACGCCATCTATGGAGGAACGGCAAGATCTTAGTGTGTGCGGACGGGCAGCGACAGGAGAATTGGCGGTGCTCCAATCCCACGACAGGCGACCTTGAAGAGGCAAATAAGATCTAGGATCGGGTAAGCCATTCAACATGCATGTGGTTTCTAGATTGATTTTCAGTAGTGATTTTTGTGCATGTGGGATTTTATGTTTGGATTTGGGTTTCTGGTGCCAGGGCGGCGAAGGGAGCGGAGAGAGGAAAAAGGGGTCTCGACTTGAACTCCAATGGCCGGCGAGTTTACCTGGAGAAGAGAACAGAGAGAAGGGGCAATTCGGTGAGGTTCTCAATTAGGGGGGATCGACAAAGTCGAGAGATGATAGGAGAGTTCGACAACGCCTACGAGCGGCGGAGGAGACGGCAGCGGCGGCGGCCATGTTGGTATTTTTGTTAGGGTTAGGTTAGCAGCAGCCAACAGACATGGAGTTGTGGGCTTAGAGATGGGTTGTGTTTGATTTGAGTGGGTTAGGTTAGCAGACATGGAGGAGTTGTGGGCTGATGGATTTAATTTTGGGCTGTTTAAATTTCAGCCGAGAGTTTTGGGGTTTGTGAGAGCCTTGAGTAGTCAGTTGGGTTGTAGATTGTGGGTTTAAGTTTTAGTTTGGTTTCTCGGTTCGGTCTGTGTACTCTGGTTTCCGAACTACAGCCTTTTGTTTTCCGAATTCCGAACCGAAAAACAATATTTCGATTTCGGGTAGGTTCGGCATGCCCACCCCTAATCCTAACTGTCAAAGAGAGGGTTCAGTCTCTGTTTACTGGAAAGAGTTTAATTTTCGTTTTAGAGGAGGAGAGAAAAAGGATGAAGTAAGTTTCAATTAGGTTTGTGTTGGAGCGGAGTGCTATGCCCAATTTTCATCTTGTCGTAGTCGATCGGAAGGGTAATCGACGGAGATCGAAGTTTCTTTAGAGAGAGAGATGAGGTTCTGGATTTTTGAGAGGGAGAGAGAGAAAGGAACTAGTGGTGGGCGGCAGGTATAGGTGTCAATCGGGCGGGTTCGGGCGGGTTCGGGTTGGGTTCAATCGGGTTCGGGTTCAAACGGGTTGCGGGTTAGTCGGGTTGCGGGTTCATCGGGTTCGGGTTCATCGGGTTCGGGTTCAAACGGGTTGCGGGTTAGTCGGGTTGCGGGTTCATCGGGTTCGGGTTCAATCGGGTTGCGGGCAAATCGGGTTGCGGGTTCATCGGGTTTTGGGTCGGGCGGGTTGCGGGCGGATCGGGTTTCGGGTTGTTCGGGCCAGCGCATCAAGTAACTTAACTCATTACTCATTACCAACTTACACATTTTATTACACTAATTTAAAATATTTTCTCAACTTTTTAGCCAATTTATTTCTACCTCGTATATATATACTTTATTTTTTTGAAAAAAACTAGTCAAAATGTTAAATCAATTTGTATTACTTGCAAACTTGTTATGTAATTAATCATAATTGGTAAAGTATTATAGCTAATAGTAATGGTGATATCAATATTTGCAACCAAAAAACAACATTAATTGTTTAATTGATATTTTAGTATTAATTCAGTAGTAATTGATACATTAAAGTATCTCGTTTAGTATAACCATGCAAATCTGGTATTTGGTGTGTGGTATTTGGCAAAAGCATAGTGATAAAAGGAGTAATTTCGAAATAACTCATTGCCCAAATAACTTTAGTAAACTGTTGTCAAACGAGTTATTTGTAAAATTGTTCGAATTATCCTAAAAATTGAACCATTAAAGATTAGCTATCAAATTTAGTAAAATTATTGTTACTTCAATCATAACTTACTCAATAACATATATCCTATACACTTTGCCTTACCCTCAATCAACAATATTAAGTTAGTATATGTTGTTGATTGTATACCCTAAACCATCAATACATTATACACTAACCAAATAACCTATACCCTAACCATATGTCTTTGAGTTGTGATTTTGCTAGTATAGTTAATTTAAAAGTGAAATTCATACTTTGATTTTCAAAACATAGATAAAAAGTTATATTTGCTAATTGTTATACCCTAACCATATATCTTATACTTTACACCACATACCTTGTACCATAAGCACGTACCATAAACATAAATTAAAAAGGGATCTCCTGCCGTTAAAGACTTCAAATGACTTCAAGTGAACATATGTTAATAAAAAACTTAGAACCGTCAAAACCATCAATATCTTACACCCTAACCATATACACCCTAAACCATATGTACCTTATACCCTATACCCTAACCATATACTTTATATCCTAAACAACGAACCGTCAAAGATTACTTATCAAGTTTAGTATAACTTGTTGTAACTAATGGTTAATTTATTTATTAGCCCATAAACAATTACATACATATATATATTAGCCTTCAAAGCATGTAAGAATAATTTTAACTAGTCATGCCCTCCATATAAAAGTTAAAGATTCATATTTCAAAAGCTAAAATTTTGAAAAACCAAAAAATTGAAAACACCAAATTTGTTTCCTTCTTTCTTTTCACAAAAATACTAAAATTTTCCTCCTTCTTTCTACTTCCATACATTAGAAAACTCAATTTTCCCTCCTCTTTCTCTTCCATAAAATTGAAAGAACCAACTTACCCTCTTCTTTCCTTCTACAAAAAGTTGAAAACTCAAAAGTTTCCCTCCTTATTTCTCTTTCATAATCAAAAGAATCAAATTTTCCCACTTCTTACTCTTCCCACATATCAAAACCACCAAAATTCCACTTGTTTCTTTTCTAAAAAATTCAAAGAACCAAATTTCCCTCTTCTTTCTCTTCCAAAAAACTTGAATACACCAAAATTTCCCTCTTCATTTAAAAACATCAAATTACCAAATACATTACTTTACTTTATTTATATTTAATTGATAATTTTATTGAATAGTTAAATTAACCAAAATTTTAATTTATATATTATATTAATATTGTCATGATCTCAAGTGACCTTCATGTTTCAATTTTTGTAATTTTCTTAAAATACGTAATATCAAGTGAGTTTCATATTTTTTAAATTTCCTATATGAAATGAAACAATAATTTTACTTAAGTTTAGAATGAAAAACTTTATTTTGAAAAACTATGTATGGTATCATTTTATAATTATTCAAGTGGATTAGATGAAATTCGGGTTGAGTCGGTCGGGTTACGGGTTAGTCAGGTTCGGGTCAATCGGGTTCGGGTTAATCGGGTTGCGGGTCAGTCGGGTTGCGGGTCAATCGGGTTCGGGTTAATCGGGTTGCGGGTCAGTCGGGTTGCAGGTTACTTGGGTTGCGGGTCAATCGGGTTGCGGGTCGGGCGGGTTACAGGTTGTTGACTTTTAGTCAATTCGGGTTGCGGTCGGGTTGCGGGTCGGGTTGATCGGGCGGGTTAATCGGGTCGGGCTATGTTTTGACACCTATAGCGGCAGGGGAGGAGGATAGAAAAAATGATATTTATACTATGGTTTAATGGTGTATTTACTAAATTGTCCTCTATTTAATTCTGGCCCTAGGATTAATTTTTAATCTGCTGGTTAATAGACTAGTTAGTATGGTGGAGATTTTTCCAGAAATAGCACTGTTTAAAAAAAAATTCCAAAAATAGCACCCAACTCCGAAAAATTCCAAAAATAGCACCATTTTTGTAAAACCGCAACCCGGAGGTGCGTTTTTCGATGAAAACGCCACCCGAGGGCGCGTTTCTCATTAAGGGTTAGCACCTAATCCAATTCCGTTTGGTTATTATTTTGTTTAAAACGAAAAATTTGGCTATTAATATATTGTATTTATTTATTTTTACTTCCAGCATCTTTCATTCAAAACTTGAACCGGTAAACGAGAAGGTAATATGCCTATCATATCTATCCATCTCTGAACTCTCTGACCCACTTGTCAACCACATAGACATATGCAATGAAATGCTGCCCAGCCAAATGAAACGTACGGATGCAGACAAAAACACAACAGAAAAAATGAAGGAGACAAAGAGACAAAAATCCATCACCGGCAGACTCCGAATAGCGCACCCAAAATTCGCCGGCGTAAAAACCCCCGGCGTTCTTCTCTTCTTCTTCGTCTGTTATTATTATTATAAAGTAAATTAAAACTACAAAACAGGAACCGAGAAAGAAAGAAAGCAAGAAAGCAGTTCACATTCCAGTAACCGCATCCATCTTCCATTCTTCCTCCCCCCCTCTCAGCTTTTGCTCCTTAATTTCCTCTCTTCTCTACTCTCTCAGCAGTACTTTATTTTCTTTAGTTTCTCTACTCAAACAAAAAGATTAAGCAGCTTCTTCCGGTCCCCGCCGCTGCTCTCGAAAGTCGTCGTCTCCGATTCCTCCCCAAAGAACGACGTTCCCCCCGTCGCCAGCTTACTCACCCGCCGCTCGCTTCCGCCCGGCGTCAACAGAGGAAAACGATGTTGGTCAGAGGATCGACAATTCTCACTCCCTACCCCCGAAATCGGCCGCAGCTGACGACCCGATCCAACGGCGGAAAAGCTGTCTGCTGACTCATCAGCCACCGCCGCGATTCCCGGTAACGGATGAAGCGATCCTCCGGCGAGTACCGTCTCCACCGCGGCCTCGCACAATCTCCAGTTCCCGCTCCACAGCAGTCCCACCGCCCCGTTCACCGGGTTCACCGTCCGTCCGCACGCCTCGTATAGCAGCGACTGGAACAGAGCTGAACAAAATAAAAAACAAAAATCGTCAAAATTTTCAGGGTTTGAACTTTTAATAATTAACCCGTTGACCGAAATTGAAAATGCAATTCGAAGAAAGACGAGAGAATCGGGCGGACCAGGGCGTTGGGATTCGGGGACGGCGGAGATGAAGGAGAGCAGATCGCTACGGCCGAAGAATTTGGCGAGAAACAAGGTGGCGTTCCCCTGCGCTTGCGGCGTGGGAATCCAGTTTAGGGAAGATCGGAGGACGCAATTCTCGCCGCATCCCTTGCGCAATACTCGGCACCCGTTGCAACTCATCGCTTTCGCTTTTTTCTCCCGCCGCTGCGTCTCAGGCGAATTCTGCTCCGGCGGGGTGTTGTTTTGTAATTTTGTACAAAGCGAGAGGGGGAAGGAGAAACAGTGAGCTGAGCCTGAGGATGGTTGGAGAATGGAGAGAGTGAAGTCTGAAGACTAGAGTGAGTAATAAAGAGAAACTACGGTGGAGGGTTAGGGAGGGAGTGTTTTAACCGTGGTTAAGTTAAGGGTTAAACGGAAAAAGGGGGCGAAGAAAGATGGATTGATCGAGAAATGGAGGGTTGAGATTTGAAGTTTGTGGGGGAAGTGGTGGTGGGGCCCACGATGGGTGGTGGGAGGGAATAAATAAAGAAATAAATAAAAACAATAATCCTTCCAAACTCTGGGCACGAGCGGCTCCGTGTTTTCGCGTCTGGTTGTGGTTTGGACACCGTCGGATGTTTGTTCTCTCTAAAGGTTAAAGACTTTCTTTTGATGTGAGCCGTGGGATGGTGATTGGCGGGTCCCGCCGGTGGTGGTGGGGGGATTTTCTTTTTAGATAATAAATATTTGCTTTCCCGAAAATTCCTTGTTTGTGGTGGCGCCAAGCTTTTTATTTGTTTATTTTATTGTTTTTAGTAATGGAAGGGGGAGTACGGAACCTTTTTGGGAATTTCACTAATTAACACACACACTTTCTAGTCGCCCCGTCGCTGGTGGAAGTGGAGAGTGACACAAAAGCCGCAAACTCTCTCTCCGTCGATGGCTTTCAGTCAGTCGCCTTTCTGATAAATTGTCTTCACTCTCCATTAACTTAATTATCTCCTCTTTTCAGTTTAGAAAGGCCAGAGAATATAATCAGCGAAAATTACCAAAATATTGTTGAAACAAATAGGTAGCGTTTCACTTAGTATATAACACGTCATGCACGTTGAGCAAAATGAATATAGTTTTCGATCGATATGTGCAACACAGGCCCTTTAGTGTTGTTTAGCTATTATACCTTGCAGAAATGTCCAAACAATAAGCAATCCACAATCCAGCTCGCGATGTAGTCTGAAACTGAAAACTTAAATACAAACACCTTGGCCTGATATTTTGGCGGTTAGTGTTGTGGTATATGATCCACGATTGAACCTCTCCTAATAATCTACATAATAAATAAAAGCCAAATGAGAAAACTTCCCATTTCAAATTTCCTGCATCCAGAGTGAAAGTAGGAAGGACATTTTGGTCTTCACAATTACTTTTTTTTATTCAGTAAAAAGACACTCACTAGGATTCGAACCATGACCACTTTCAAGAAAAGCAAAGATCATAACCAATCACACTAAGTACATTTGTTGTATCTTTTTAAATTAAAAATATATAATTGCATTGAGGAAAAAATCCTTCCCCCCATTTCAAATTCCCTGCTCCAGGAGTGTTTTTAGGAATGGTAGAATAGGGAGTGTTAATTTTTTCCTTTTTTCTCTGTGGAACGGGCCAACTTACCGTACACAAGCGGATTTAAACGGGTCCGGGAGTGTCAATTTTTTTTCTTTAAGTCCTTTTATTTCTCTGTGGTGGTAAAATATATATGAAAAAGCAAAAACAATACTCCTTTTTATTGCTAAAAAAAAAATTTAACAATAAACTAATGCATGGATTCTAATGGGCTAATCGCTAATCATAAAATAAAAGAGTTGAATGGGTCTGATCTACACGGGATTTGCCCATCAAGTAATACAAATGAACATCATGGGTTTGCCATTCTAAAACAAGCTATTTTCTCTAGCATAATATATATTATGCTATTATTTTACATCTTAGTGGCTAAAATATAATGTATTTTAAAGTTATTCAATGAACCTCCACCAACCCAATTAGTTCAATTTTTATCATTTCAAATATATATTATGTAATTATTTGATATCATAATGATTAAATTATAGTGTATATTATAGGGAATCGTTTGGTATTTGTTAGTAAAAAACTAAACAGAAAGATTTATTGGTTATTTTTAACATTAAAACGATTCTAAATATTTTCAGTTTCCTTTCGAAATTCTACAGCTTTATTCCCGAATCAGTGATTTGCAAATGACGAATTGCAGTCATCTCTTTTCTTTCATTATTTTTTATTTTCAAATAGAAATTTTAAAAGAAAAGAATAATTAGAGTTTGGCATTGGTCGGTCAAACATGCTGAATTTCAAGTTTTGGCCCGTTTTGATCAAGTCTAATTTTTAATCACATGGTTCCCTAATACTCGATAAAAATCACAATACAAACCAGTTTGGCAGGTGAGTCCATGTTTACCACCATTTTCTAGGGATACAGGAACGTGGTTCCTATCCTAAATCGTGTTGTTCATTCTTGATTTCTTTAGATTTTATCATGGCATGGCAAAAAACCAGAAAGCACAATGATGACAAGATGAAAGTTTTATAAAGCAAATTAATCGGCCAACGGGCCGAGTAAAAGCTAGCAACGATTGTGAGATGCTCATTTCCCGAAAACCGGCGGGATAGGCGATTTTTTATTCGATTTTCCGGAATTCGGTTTCTATAAAACTTACTCCACCTCATCATATTACCAGAAACAATATTGTATCACAAGGTAACAGGTACTTGATTTTGGTTCATAAGGCTGATTTTTGATTCGTTGCATCATTCATGTCTCTTTCCTACTAAAATTCACTATTTTTATTACGTGTTTCCAAAAAAAAAAAAATATACAACAATAAGCTATACACCCCATTACATTATCAAATTTCATACCTCACCTTCCTCTGGCCAAATGGCCGGGGACACGCTAGTTCGAGTTATTGGGATCAACTGGTTCTTGACATGGTATCAGAGCCTTCTGTGACCGAGAGGTCTTGTGTTCGATTCCCGGTGACCCCCATTTGTTAAGCACATGGTATTCTTGTCTTCAGACTTGTGCAAACTCCAAGCCCTTTTGAGTGGCTTTCGTTTGAGGGGGCGTGTTAGTGACATTGACCCTAACACCACAATCCTGAGTTACATGCAGCAACTATGACTCACTATACCAGCTAACTTGACTCCCCACATGAGCTGAAAGCTCTCAACATATTTACCCACTACACATGAGTCAAATGCAACGATACAAAACTTAATGGACTAAGAAATACATTTAAAAAAACAACTTAATGGAAGCTAAAAATTTACATTTATTAGTTGAGAGAGTACCTCCTACATGACATTAGTATTCCTTGCCTCCCAAATGCGCTTAAAGAGGATGCCTACTACACGAGATTTGTATTCCTTATCTCCCCTAACAATAGTGTACAAATGATACATATATAGAGTAACATATAATAGATTCACAAGCATTGATTAACTAAAGCATCTAATAACAATAGCATCGAATAACTCAAGTAATAGATGATACAAGCATAAATTGATTCCACATTGAATGGTAAAGATAATAAACACGATAGACATCTCATTAACTCATAAAACTATATGCATGAAGCATCAAAGAATTCACATCCCTAAATAGACTGACAAGCAAACCATAGAGAAGTAGAACAACATCACCATTGATGCATACATTGATGGTGAATGATTCCTCGAATATCAGTAGGAATTTGCCTTTCTATGGTGAATGATGCATGCTCTCTATAAGTAGCAATTTGGTAAAAGGTGTATCAAAAAGCTCTAGCCAAAGCACCTATTTATACTAGAAACAAAAGGAGTTTATTAGTCATTTTCCTCCTAAAGTCGGCAAAAACCTTCCTTGTACGACATCAACTTGGATTCCTTCAACTCGTGGACGAAGTAAGGACCTTCTAGAACTTTCCACTTGGGCTTGGTGCTTGGCCCACAACCACAAGGAACCTCTCCTCCAAATTTGGGTGTGTTTTGACTTATTTAACTCTGGTTCGACCTCGGTCAAAGTTGGGCATGCTCATTACCAGATATGCTTGTTTTGACATATGTTTTGATACTCTAATGCATGATTAGTGGTTGATTCATGGATTCTATGATATGATGTTCTTATCGAGTGCTATTGTTGATCTTGTAAGTTGATTATGATCCACTAACTAAGAGCAGGGTTAAGTGATGGTATCAAGAATTCATTGAGTCGTATGATTAAGAGTAGTATTTTCTTTGGGACAAGCAAAGTTCAAGTGTGGGGTATTTTTTATGACACTTTATTTATAGTGTTTTTCATTCTCATTCTTGATACATTTTCCCCTTCTATCAAAGCATCTTTGGCTATTTCAATGGTAATTCGTATCTAAATCGCAACCATTTGATCAATGAGCCTTTATTAGACATAGACAATGTTCTTGTACTCTTTGATGTCTTCTTGGTGTGTTTTTTTTAATGATTTAGAAGGTACAAAGAAATCTAAGCAATGAAGAACTTTGAACGACCAAATGAGCTATGAATAGAAGAATAAGGAGCATTCGTGAGAAAGAACACGTCCAATAACGGATAATTCTACTTGTTTATTCCTATGCATTGATGCTTTTAGTTTCTATGCTGATGTGATGATCATTGATGTTTATATAGAATAAATGCTTCTTTATCATCAATGCATATGGTTCTATTGTGTGCTACTAACACATTGTGTTTGGCATTATTTAGGTTGTCAAGAAATTATCATCTAGTGATACTCCATTGATGCTACGAGTATAGAGGGAATGATCAACCATCTATACCTCGAGTAGTATCAATGCTTGATTGTTAGATCATTGATGCTATATACTATGATTATTGTTTGTAGGAGCCCATAATCAATTGCATGTTATCCTAACATCCTTATTCTTCATTGATTAGCTAATGACATGACGCGAAAGCACGCATTATCTAGTTAAATCTCTATCCCAAGAGGCACGTGCACAGGTGGAGACTAGCCTTAAAGGAAGGAATAGAATGATACAACAGATGAACCATTGATGCATGATGTGAATGAGCCCTAGTATGCATGATATAGTACTCGAGTTTACTACCTTTTTGAATAACATATCTTTACTTTTATGCTTCTATAAATCAAAAACCCTTAAACAACTATACTTTTCTTGCTTGTTTGTTAAATGAAAACCCTAAATGTCTTTATGATTTTCGTGTATGTCATGGATGGTTAGTATTAGTAGTATGCATTTAGAAGACCTTGAGAAATACGACCGTAGGGCCTCCTAGGATTTTATCACTTGTTACCACATCAATGTGCGTATATTACAAAGTT